CGTCAGGTAGATTTCAATGGTAATGTTTTTCACATCTACTAATTATTAAGGAGCAAATTTTTATGCTTTGAAGAATTATCTTTTTAATCATTATTTAAAAATATTTTAATAACTACATGATTAGAAGAAGCATTTCACTACAGCTTTAACATATTCAGTAACACACTCCAGAGCAAGAGCACATCTCTTTCACAAGTGGGTGCAAGTTTCTAGGTTTCCATGTATTTTTTATTTTTTTTTGCTGCATTTTGTTAATTAGAATTGCAGATGCAATAAATCATTCTGATTTTGGTTTGGCCTCGTTGCCAATATTATTTTCAACTTTGGCATAGTAAAATGTTTTTTATTCCTCAACATACTAGAAAAGTATTTAATAAAGGTGACATTTTTAAACAGTCACAACATAGTAATTGACTTCCCCTATTATTAAGTCTTCAAGATTCTGAAACACCTCTTGAATAATTTTGAATTGTTATACATTGTAAGCTTGTTGCATGAGTTGAATAGTGAATGTATTTTATTGCTATCTAGATATCTGAGAGTTGCTTGATATAGCATAGAGTCTTTTTCCTAGTTAACCATAACTTGAGCATTATTTTACCATCTTTGTTCTTATAAATTTTTAGAGTTTCCTGAAAAAACTCACAATTTATTAGAAAAGGAAATGGCATAGGAATTTTAGGTTATATTTTACTGGAAAATTGATTTTACTGTTTCTGTTCTTATAAATTTTTACAGAAATTTTCAGAAAAACTTAGAATTTATTTTAGAAAGGGGACATAATATAGGAATTTTAGGTTATATTTTGGAGGAAAAAGTAAACATTTGCAGGATTAAGCAATTATAGGATAATGGTAATAAGAACCACAGCAGATACAGGCAGATCCCAAGAGCTCTCTGGACAGACAGCCTAACTGAACTGCAAGCTTTAGCTTCAGTGAGAGACCCTGCCTCAAGGCAGTAAGGCTTAGAGCTAGAAGACACCTGATGTCTTGCTCTGGGCTCTGCAGGTGCATGACCTGCACTCTCACATCCCTGTAATACATACACTGTGTAACACACACACACACACACACACACATACACACACACGAGAATAAATGCCTCATATTGGATGAAGTGTGCTTTTGGTCATCATTCAAACGTGGGGAGTAGCAGTCTTCATGCAATTGCTGAGGGTCCCAAGATAATCTAGGTTTTTCTCACACTTCTGATGCTCACACAGTCTCAGGTCCTATCCTGTGTTATTTCGAATTTTTCTTTATCCTTGTTCTCATAACATGTGTTCAAACTCTTACCACCTCCTGTGTCTGCTCATGTGTATTGTCCTACATCAGCTCTG